AATTTTATTGTTTATCATTGCAAATTTATATAATTTAAGAGCAGGTTTCAAAGCACAGAAATGCCATTAAAAGTTTTAAAAATGTTTTTGCTTTGCATTCCTAAATCAATGCAATTATTTAAAAACCATTATGCGGATCAATAAAGACTTAATTTCCTTTTATTACACAATGTATACCAATGCTGTGCATTTAATATTTTCTTTGATATTTCATTTTAATCAAAAACAAAATTATGCAAAGCAAAAACTTTTTTTAAATTCACGCTGCAGAGCTTCGGAACCTGCTCTCAAACAGAAGTTTGTGAAAAACATTTAATAGTATTCTTAACATCTTGGACATAAAACACAATCATTTAAATCGATTGGACGTCGGCGAAAAAAAAGTCCTGCGTATGCGAATTACAGTTATCCATGCTTTATTTATAGCTCTGGGCGCACTCGATGACTTTTGTTTTTCATTGATTTTTTATTGCATTTCTCGTCTCCTCACACACGCAGTTGTTTAATTTTTCGTGTTGCCCGCTGCGTTCAATCCATTGCTACCGGTTTTAGCTCAACGGGCACGCAAAAATAATAAATAATAAAAAAATATCTTGAATGTGGAGAGCCGCGCAGATTAAGGTAAGGTATAAGGATTGATTCATTTCTGGTTGCACGCGTTCGTAATTTACATGGCAATCAGGATATCGCGAGCTAATTATTTTGTAATATAATATGATATAATGTGAAATAAGAAATAAGCTATACTGGTTTTTATTATTGAGTTCAAAGCATTCAACAAAAAATAATTAAGCTTGTTATGCAATATAAAAAGTTTATTGATTTTTATTTAAAATAAATTTATGCGTTATCGACTGATTTAATATATTGATTGACATTTCTGAATAAATCACGAAATAAAAGTAGAGATTAGCAAATTGCTTTTTTTTACTTTTTCGTTTGGAAACACAGAAAGTTGTAATTTAAACACCAGCGGCCAAGGTCGTGATTAAAGTATTTTAGTCACGGGCTTTAGTCACAGGCTTGAAATTGCGCCTGGGCATTTGATTACGGTGCAACACAAAACCTTAAACACTCGCTACGTTTGCTCTTAATCATTCCCGTGACAAAAACTCCCATTTAGCCACTAGATACTTAATATTCCTTTTTTTACTTGTTTTTTAATGTAACTACCTGGTACTTAATTGATTGGTAAATATTAGCTGGTGTAATTAATTTTAACCGCGCATATCCTTATCCTCTGATTCCCGCCGATCGTAATTTCGTAATTAGCCGCATGTCATGCATCATCCAGGGCATGCCCACTGCGCGATACGTAAATAACGTCCTGGTTACCGCGTCTCAACTAAAAACACACGCGCTGGTTCTTAAAATAGCAGCTACCGGACTTGTTTGTTGCGCCGCGCTTCTGCGTTTACGTAATTTGACGTTATCATTAAATCGGGCACGCAAGGAACGCGCACTCACCAACCACACAAAAATTACAATTAAAATAACGACCAGCGGCGTGGAGTGAAGTTAAAAAGTTGAAATTAAAAACGCAGACACTCACTAATTCGGGATGCGATAAGATGCGCGATAAAAAAACTACACACGAATGAGTATAATGCTTTTTTGTGTTTAATTAGCACGCATTTAAAATTCTACGTAAGTGTTTCAACATTTAACACTGGAAATTAGTAAATTTAATTAGATGCGCTCATGTTTCTTGAAATTACGTTAAAAAAATTAAATTAAAATTATTTTTAAGTTTTGTTTTTAATAAGTAGCTGGATGTGTAACACATATTTTATATTTTATGACACATAAAGAAAATGTGATTTATTGCGGCGATGGAATGCGCTATCAAGCATCAACGCACGCGGACAGCACGCAGCGCAATTGCAATCGCAATTGCATTAGAGTTGAAGAACACGACGACGAAAAAAAACTACACGAAGGAGCAAAAACTAATGGCAGTAATTTAGTGCTGGCGTGCAATTAATTTGCAGTTCGGTGCTGTTTGCGTTTGAACGTCCACTCGTCTGCTTCCAGCTACCTTCGGACGTTCGAAGATCGGTTGATGTCAAAGCGCTTGCAGGCTCTTTACTCTTCAGTCCGCACCGGTAACGATCGCAACGAGATCGAAAATTAAATAAGAACGCTATTAAACTAACGCGAATTGCGCATGCGCAGTAGATCAAAATACGCTAATGTTGCACGGCTGCTGGTGCGTGCATCTATGTAGCCTTGAGACTCTTTACCCTTCGTGCATACCCCGCAATTTATGTAACGCCAAATGACCATTATTATGCGCATGTGTGCATGCTGAATGCTCCGAATGCGCGTCGCGTGTGTGCACATTCTCTGCGTCTGCGCGCTGCGCTTATACAAGTGTTATGTTTATAAATACCTGCTTATTGTTGGCGCACGAAAGAAAGAGGCGACTGTCAGTAAACTACGCGCTACACATATGTGTAGCCTATTCCTTTTTGCCCTTTTTGCCATTGTTTATCATGATTTATCCGCGCACTTATTCTTAGTCGTGTCTTACAGCGCATAAAACCTTTTTCTGCGGTTTGTCTCTGCTAGTCGCTCGAAATCATATCTACGAATCTTACTACAAATAAATATTTATTGTAACACACTGTAGATTTTTATATTACATGCTTCATTGTGCTGCGTTTGGACGAGATGCAAAATAAGATTTTTTTCGTGTCACTCAAGCGTTGCAATAATTTTACGCTGCGTCTCGGATGACATCTCGCTATGAAAACCGCATCTGACGAGAGGACGAGGGAAAACTGGTCGCGCGTGTCGCCGTCTTCCCAGAACACATATTTATTCACATCGAGATGCACAGAAGGAAGAAATGTGATTAATGTAATTAAACTATGTTTCTAAAAGTTGTCATCAAATGCACGCCACGGAAAAATTATTTTCAGTTAATTAGAAGTGAAATAATTTATGTGGACACACGGTATAATTTTATTAATACTATATTGTATGAGTTTTATATCCTAGACTCAAGAATGTGACGCCATAACATCATGAACTCGCGCAGCAATGTCAAGGCATTTGGAAAGAAGAGAAAATCGCAAATCCCATCCATGGACGCAAAAGACGCAAAAGACTTAAAACCTTGTCCACCTCACGCCTACAATTCTGCATTCCTTTGCTTAATATGACAGGTTATAACTTTTTTTCCTCCGCATGCAGAATAAATGCCTAACAATGTTATCTGTAATCTTGCATTTTGTCTTTAAAAAACATGTAAAAAATAAAACGTAAATATTTGTTACAGCTGAAAATAACTAGATGAGTGTACATGAAACAATTGAAGTTTTAGTTGAATTGAATTCAAATTGAAAGACAATTTCCAAAACTTTCCCTTTTGTTGTGTGTTGTGTGTTTTTGTTTGCGCAAGAAGACGCACTTGTTGCCACAGTGTTTATCTGCATAAAAGTAACACGTAATTAAAATGTGGTTCACACCGTTTATCTTTATGGTTCGAAGGTGAGCACAATGATCGTAATAGAAATTTCTATTTCACTTAAGAACAAACAAACACCACACACATACACATTCATTATGTGTGAAGAAGAGACTGTTATTATAATTAAATCTGCTGGATAATTGTGAAATTTAAACACTTCGCAGTATAATAGATCCAAAGCATTTTTAAATTTTACTTTCATTTAATTTTTGTTTTGAATTTTTTCAAAGGAAAAAAAACTCTAATCATCAATTTTAGTTGAATGTTACCTATGTATGTAATGCTGAATAATCCGTAGCTGAAACGATAGCAATAATTTAAATTTCACTTTCATGTTATGTTCGCTGCATGTACGAAATGCGTGCAAGAGCAGTGCCAGACCAGGAAAGTGTAGGAAAACGTTGCGAAATGCGCGCAACGTCAATGTGCGATCGCGCAATCGTTTAAACTTTAACTGGCGGACCGTTAAAGTTGTAGTAATCGCAGTAATAGTAATGGTTGCACTTTACGTCAAGATTGAATAAAATACAACAAAATTTAGTTTTAGCTTTTTGTTGAACCAGGTATCAAGTAGATAGGCGCATATAGAATGTATTTAATGATCTAGGAAATTGTTATCATGAGTGTAATCAGTGTAAAGTGCAATAAAAGGAAAAATGCAAAAATGGGCGCAGTAGCTCTTCCGATATGTGTTCTACATATCATGTGTTCTACTTCCGTAAAAATGCGTGGTAGGTAATTAAAATTATAACTAATTGCAAAGTGTTGTAAGTTGTTAAAGTGGAAATAGATAAGAATAAATGGAGTTTTACTAAATCTATTGTTTTATTTTATTTTATTTTTTCTACTTCCTCCTTTAAAACGCGTTTTTTATCACACAAAGTGATACTTTAAACACGGACCGCCAAAGCCGTGTTTAAAGTATTTTAGTCACAAGCTTTAGTCACGGAGTGGATAAAATACAAAAATGCAAAAACCTCAAAGTAAAAATAGAGTAGAAGTAGAAAATAGCGTAAGCATCACGTGGCTAAACGTTGTTAAACACTCGATTGATTGACCACTCGTTACGCTCGCTCTCAATCAATCTCGTTCCATAAACTCCCATTTAGCCACTTGATACTTAATATACCTATTATTATAGGTCACATTTAGTTTTGTTTACTTTTTATAATTTTTATGTCCCATTGACATTTCGCACACGCAGCGAAAACCGAAAGCATTACATATTATATCATTAAATGAGTTCTCGTGCTCTCCACGAATCTCCGTAATACGAATAGACAATATTTACATACTCAACTTTATCACGTCTTAACGTCTGATAATTATTCTAACATTTGCATCACGCAAACAGCAACCTGTAAGCCGAGATGATGATTACATTGCATTTATTATTAATTACACACTGTGTGTATTTAAATTTTTCGAGTTATATAAATTTGCTAGTTGATTTGATGCAAAATTTTATATTTCAAAGTAATGACATGCATCTGGTACAATGTGGCATTTAGTGTCAAAAGTGAATGTGCACGAAAATCGCGTCTTCGCCTTCGCACGCGAAACTCTCAACATCTCGACGGAATGCGACGTGAATAAGGAGGCAAAAAGGCAAAAACGCAACACAGGCAGTAATACCGCGAAAAGAAAAAGGTTCGACCATCTCATTTTCAAATGATCAAACGTGTGGAATGTGAACGTATTCGTGATTTCAAAAAGTAGCGAAATATTTTTACATACTTTCATTTGATAACATGGCAAAGACAAATTTTTAAATGTTAGAAATGTTTTTAAAGATGCTGCAAAAACGTGTCAGGTTAATTAATATTTTTATGTGTACATGCAAATTTGACATATTGGCAAAACATAAAATTTCGAAATTTTTGAAAGTGTGTTTTAAAACACATTTTTTTTAAATTTTGCGCCTTTCATATTTTATAATAGCTGATAAAAATGTTTCACGCATTGTTTTTGTTAGTTTATTGCTTCAATCACCGGAAAATCTATTCAATAAATCAATATCAGGTATATATCAACAATTAAACACAGTATCACAACTTTCTTCAACGTTAAATACAATTTTACAACCGAGAAATTAATCAATTTGCCAATTAAACTCACCGAGCCTCCGGTCTGCATCTGTACACTTAATAATATTTCATTTTATGGCTTTATTACTGTGCGCACATGTTCAACACACACGGAAAGTGAATGCCTAAAACTAGTTCCATTATTGTTGTTAACCAAACAAACGGTATTGTGAAATTTACACGGGAAAATCGCAAAAAAACAACTTTTTCAAAATAAAGAAGAGAAAATTATTTTACTACCGGTTTTCTAATAAAATATTTGATAGCTTCTTAAAACATATTTTTCTCTAGTTTATTTAGGTATACCTATATCTCCTTAATGTGATTCTAAATATTTGCTGTTAAGGAGTTGTAGTAGCCGTGTTCGTGAAAGTTAAGATGTTTTTCGCTGGTATGCAATTTCTCTACTTGGCTGCAAGTGCACACAAGTAGTACTCGAGATTGCGAATCATTTGATATGCCAGCGGCAAGCTCACAAGTAGGTAAGTATGTAAATTTAGACAAAACAACAATTTTCTGTACGTAAACGGTGGAAAAATATAAAAAACTATATTAAGATACATAGATACTGAGTGAGGTTAGTATCTTGGTGTGTTTATGCAACCCAAATGACATAAATTTTGCGGCAATGCGCATTTTAAAAGTCGGCGATGGTTATCTCCGCATCGAAAAACTTTGAAACATTTTATATTTCGCATTCGCCGCGACATAATTTACAATTACAAATATCCAAGACAAATTTCAGATAAACCAACCGCGCAAACGCTTGCAATACTTATCGGCTTATTGCAATTTCGCACAAATTTGTAAGGCAGTCGAAGCATAATTTCGTGCATATCTCTTCGGAAAATCGATGTCAAAAGCTCCGCAGACGGCATTCCCATTGGATGGCATAAAACGTTTTGCCAGACAGAAAATTTTCGCGTTGTAATTGCACGTCGCGCATCGCAATGCGCATCGCTGATTAAACGTTTGTTTTACATCTTTTCGCCGGTCGTGTATTCCCGCGCGGCTAATTAATGTCTCGCTTAATTTTTACGCACGTTCCGGCCAGACACGCGGCCGATTCGCACCGCGGTTGAAATTTACAGCTTGTAGACGTCGCGGTTTTTTTTTGCTGTTGTTGGTGTATTTTGTTAGTGTTGTTTCGTTGTGGTGCGCTTGGCTCGGCGTGCGCGAAAGTGCGCTTTGTAATGGGAGTGTTACTTATTTGTTAGCGTCGCACTTGCAGCACCGCGTCAGCGAGCGAAATTAATGGGCAATCAAATGCGCCGGACGCGAATTACCGATTTGCCATAAAATTTTGTAATATACGAGCTGGGAGTCGGCCAGACGACACTTTTACATCGAAAATTCTCAATTGACGCAGAAATCTTTATTTATACAAATTGCAAGTTCTCGGAAACAAGAAAAAAAAAACATTTTGTTCTGCAGCAGAAATAATAATGACGTAGTTAAAGTTTTTAATTATTTTCTCAAATACCAATCAACCTATCTCCATATTTTCTGCAGAAATATTTCTATTGGTAAATTCTGTATCTATTTATAACAAAATTAAATTGATAGCCCAATATTAGAATAAATTATATGTTAATTTAGTTGCATACAGTCAATTTTTACAAAATCAATTTCAACTGCTTTGTACTTTACGAAAAAATTTCAAATAAACAAATTTCGATCACAGATAAACGTAAAAATTAATTTTGAACTCAAAATGTGTCTACAATGACATTATACACACTTAATATGCAAAACTTCTCAAAACATCCAACTAATAAGCAAAAAATAAATATAAATCTTAAAGTTATCTTCATAGGTATCTGCAAACAGAAGAAAAATGCTTTTTACTGCACACTTCTCTCTGAATTATTTCAAACGAAATGAAATGATATAAAAACAGTCAAAAGTGACGATGTAAATATACGAAGTGTTGACAAAACTTTCAATTACCATAAATACCACCTCTACGAACATTTGAAGCATATGAATATACTCTTTACCACAACGCTTTGATAAACACAAGTCGCGTATGTTTGGTTACGCGCCAGAGCATTTTATTATTAAAATGTCATAAAAGTCGTGCGCGCGATTATTTATCGTTCCTATTAGCATGCGAAATCTGACGCACGAAGACGTCGAGCACTCCTGAAGTAGAAGTTGAAGATATGTGTGAGGAAAACTCTATCAACTTCTTAATCAAACACACAAATAAAAAAAGCGATATTTTTATTACTAAATGAAATATTCTGAATACTTATACCCGCATGTGGTCATTGTTGGTTTAAGAATAAGTAGGATTTGAATGTGTGTCATTGCAGAATCTGCAATTTCCTTGTCACATTGTCATAATGCGCGTATTGCATTATCGAGCAATATCGCGAAGAATGCGCCAAGCACAAAGCGAGTGGACGTAATTAATCACGTCATTATTCAGGATTACAGCGAGAGGATGCATTTGTTATGTGCGTTTGGCATGAATGCGCTAAATGAAATTTAAGTCCGATTTGCCGTTATTGGCGTGGTAATTTATGCGCGCATGCAGAAAATCCGATTTTAATTGTGCAAAAGTCAACATAGCTCTCAGCTTTACTTACTGCTAATTAGCGACAAATCAGTGATCAGTCCAAGAATGACAAACATAGATTAAATAATTGAATATCCTTTATAACTGTTTTAAATTCTATCCAGTAGAAAACTGAGTGTAAACAATAAAAAACGAAAGCATTTTTCAACACGTCGAAATTCATTTACATAATTATCACATATTCACGCTGAGTGCGCATGCGCATCAGCTTCAACACGTATCGTCTTGACACCGTGACTTAAAAGTGCGTATAATAATAAAGAGCCGTTTAGAGAAAGTAAACAATCGTCCACGACCGAATTTTGCACTCAAGTGCTGACCCCCAAAGGTCATCGATGTGTGTATGTTGACCCAAAACGTGAGGCAACAATCATGCCAAATTGATTGCAGATAAAAATATGTAAAAAGAAGTGAACAACAGTTGCTTGATGTCACTTGACAATGGATGTGCAATAATGTAATGTGAGAGTTTACAAACGCAGAAAGAAATTGCGTTTATGTGGTCATAAGTAGAGATTTGGTAACATTCGGTAACATAATGTTGGTAACGTCGGTCACCTTTGTGACCGCAGAATGACCATAAAATCGGAACGTGTGGCTTTCAGGCGCCATGAACCGCAAAAAAAAGGACACACGCTAAGAACAGACAATTCTCTCTCAACGCCCGCTTTTGCAATAATTACGTAAGACTATAAATTAAATTTCTTTTCAAACTCTTGATGTGGTTCAATGCGGTCACAGTTCAAGTATTTAGTAATATTCAACGTGTTTGTTTTATGTTTTGAATAAATAATTATGATTATGTTTACAAATATGTCAGGGCTATAAATTTACTAAATTTAAATATAAAAATAAAGAAAGTTCGTTTTTTAGATTTCGATTTCTTTCTGAAAATTGCACCGAACCAGTTCTACTAAGAATTGCCTGTCGAATGATATTCGTGCGGGTATCATCTGTTGTGAGTTAAACTCGTATTATTAGCCATTATGTGAGTTCCCACAATTTCTCTCAAGGCTCATGCGCGCGACTGTAAGTTAGTGGGTAAAACGTGCGCGTTTTTCTATCGGCGCGAATTCAAAGCGATGTTCGCATGCGCAGTGTCGCGGTGTCGGAAAGCGCAGTGAAATGCAATCATGCGATGCGTGAGAATGCAGTTTGCATTTTAATGCAACTGCCGCGACCGCAGCGACCACCTCGAGTCAAAGAGAGAGAATGATTCGTTTTCGTTTTATGATTTTATGATAATTTTATGTGTAATTAACCTGTTTATGTCGAGTGTTATCTGTTATAATTACCAATCAAACACTAACTCAATCCTAACAACTAAAAAATCATTTTTTATTATAATTTTACAACCCTAGTAAAATTTATACAGGAAATAATTCTTGTAAATAATTCTAATTACTTCCTAATCTGTAAACAGTAAATTTATGCACTAATATATTTTTTAACTGGTCAAAAACTATAATTAAACGATTATAAAACCGTTTGTGAATTTGTGAATGGGAAAATATCCTTAGGCTGCTATTACGACTCAGGGTCGCTGGATATTTTGCTCAATTTTCTCATTTCGACATAACCGCACCACACAATTAATATTCTAATGAACTTGAGCAATTAGTATGGTCAATTGATTACCATTGCCGTTACTAAATATATTTCTTCAGTAATACTCATGCTTAAGAAGAAACAATTTCTACTTAATGTTTTTATTTAGTCTTTAATTTCTGCGCTGAGTTATTACGAGTGTACTTCTTGCGCGTAGACATTGAAAAGTCATTACAGTTAGCTGAAATAATCTTTTACCGAAAGTAATTAGAAATTCAACGGTTATTTCTCGCGCGCGTTTTTGTTCGAAAAGATTATTCGCTGATTTTCTGCTACTTAAATTGGTGTAATTTGCGTATCTCACGCGTCTCACGACTTTAACTTGAATTAGAAGAGTGAAGTATACTCGAGTTGTTAAGTTATGACAGAGT